TGTTTTTTCAAATCTCATCTGTTCCCTCCCTCTTCCTTACCCCATGTAGATCCCCTTAAACTGATCACAAATAACTAATGTTCTTCAAGCACTTTATTGATGAAAACTTGCTGAGTGAGGAGAGTCCCACTGAAGCCAGATTTAAAATTAGGCACTAGTTAGGTAAATCGGGTCTAATAYCGAGTGAAATCTAAAATGGAGGCCATGTTAAGAATGGATTTCCGGAAAAGTTGAGCAACTCAATGTAATGAAGTCCAGGAAACAGCCCCCAACAGATTTGAAGATAGCCCATTCCAAAGAAATGTTAATGAACAGCAGACTTGAAGATGCAGACTCCAAAGTGCCCAGATTACTTCTTTGGCCCACCTGTGTCCCACCCCTCTGGCCTTCCCACCTACATTCCATCACCGAAAACTATAAAATGGAGAGACAACCATACTTCCACGGATTCCATCTCTCGGGTCCCCTTCTTCCTATGGGAAAAGTCTTTTCTGCTGTCCTTTAATAAACTTCTAATTTTCCACTCTGACCTTGCCTCGGTGTGCTTCTCTGGTGTTATTCTTCAACCTTGGGGAAGCAAGGACTGTCACCAGTCAACTGCGGTAACACCACTAGACTTTGCTTGCTAGCTAAGTGAACCCCCCTCTACCCCAGGCTCTCATTATTCATCAAGTTCAGATCAAATTTCTCCTCCTCAGAGAAGTGTTCATCGACCTTCTCAGGCCTCAACAGTTATTCCAATGCCAGCTTCCTCCATTTGAACATACATATAGAAGTCCTTCGGTTTTTCTTTTTTTATACCTTTATTTTATTTATTTATTTTTATGCGGTGCTGAGGATTGAAACCTGGGCCTCCAATGCGGTAGGCGAGCACTCTACCGCTGAGCCACAACCCCAACCTAGTTTTTAATTAGTATTATTTCCTTCCCGGTTGGGATACCTGGCAGGAGTTAATAAAAGGACAACTTAAGGGGTGAAAGGCAGAGACTTCTGAGATCTATCTCTGAGTTGTTGAAAAAAACTGAACCGAAGATATGCAAAATACTGCCCCAGAACTCAAATGTGCGCTGCTCTTATTTGTCTTATACATAAAGGAAACTTATGAAATTCCTCCGAGCACTGTCCATGGTATGTGATTTCCTGGTTGCTTATTGAGTGGTGCCGAAAACCACCCATCTTCTTATTCCTGAGGCTTACAAGCCCCGCTCTTAACTTCTCAGGGTGGTGGGGTTGGCCTCCTCAAAAACAACTCCTTCCCTGGTTTTGACGTTGTGCCAGCAGGAAAGCATCGAAATGAACCAGCCCCTTTCCCTCCCTTCTCCAGCCCCGCTCGAATCTTCACCCAAAGGCCCCCTGGGTCGCATCCTCCCAGGGAGTTGCCCCGCAGCGCCCATCATCGGTGTGCCTGGGAGTGCCTGTCAGCCGCCGTAGGCCTGGGACAGGCTGAGTTACGCCGGTCCCAAATCTACGTGTTCCCGCCCGCCACTCTGCCAGACGCCGCCTTCCGGCTAAGCTCAGGGCGGACTTCACTTCCCAGGGTGCGCAGCGGCGGGGCCTTGCTCCGACGGGGACCTCGGGTGGCGCACCGCTCCGTCGCCTGCTCGGGGGCGCGCGAGCTGGCGCGAGGACAGGGCCTAGGACCCGGAATGAGTTTCCTCGTAGTTCCGCTGGGCTGTGCCGGGCTGTGCCGGGCCGTGCCGGGCCAGGACAGGCGGGGGTGGGGGCCTGAGTTAGTGGAGTCAGTGACAGGCGCTCGGGGCAGCCCGCGCCTTACTGAGGTCCCCGCCCCGTCCCGGCCGGGCCGGCTCGTCTGTCAGTCACTGGGGCGGAGGCAGCGGCGGTAGCGGGGCCGGAGCCAGGCTGTGAGCAGAGCGCGGGCCAGGCCGAACGGAGAGAACCTGCCACAGCCCCTCAACTCCACGGACTCTTCGCCCCAGACTCACGAAGCTGCACCYCCCGCGCTTCTTTGGACGCCTCCGTAATCCGCGAAGGGCTTTCTCCCCCGTGACCCCTCAGCCCCGTGACCTCCTCATAGCACCCAAGCGCTCACCCGGACGAGGGTGTTTTTGGTACAGGCCKTCGACCCTGTGACTCCTCACGGGCCAGGGACTCGGTTCCCCCCTAGGCCTCCCTCCCCAATGACTTCCTCCTCATAGATTCTAGGGACAGAACCGTGACCTATCATTAGGACCAGCGTCTGGGAACACCTCACTGACGCGTCCCTCCTTAGAGTACCCCTTAGTGGGTCTCCTCCTAAGAGCACCCCTTTTGGTCTCTGGCAAACTCCCCACCCCCAAACGAGGTGGGGAGGCCTCGGCAGCCATGTCCTCCCTGGGCACCCTCTTACCCCACCAGTCCCTGGGCGCCCAAGCCGGGGTCTAGCAGGGGGCCAGCAGCCAAGGGGCTGGGGCAGGAGACAGATCAGGGTCCACCTCCTTGCCAGGGAGGGAGCAAAGATGGAGCGGCGGGAGGAGCAGCCGGGGGCTGCAGGGGCTGGAGCAGCACCAGCCTTGGACTTCACTGTGGAGAACGTGGAGAAGGTATGAGGGCTCTGGGGTGGGAACCCCAGTGACAGAGCAGAAGTTCTGGGGACTGACACTAATGCCAGAGCTCAGGCCTGGGCTGGGTGCCCGCTGGGATAGTGCCCCCAGAGCACCTGGCATTTGCTGTCTCTGGGCAGGCAGTACAGCAGTGCTGCAGTATCTAATGGTCTATTTTTGGCTTTCCTTAGACACAGATCCCCTGTGGACAGATACTCTTGGGTCTTGGGCTGTTGCCTTCAGGGTACTGATGACTTGGACTTCCAGTCAGACTGGCTGTTGTCCAGCTGTATGGGAAATGCATGAGGGTGCCATAAGAAACCAGCAACCCAGGAGACCTACAGTTCAGTAACCCCTCCACCCCCCAGAAACCATACTAATGCCAAATCATCCTGGACCTGACTTTGTTCAGCCAATGGCTTAGAAAATATCTGGCACTAAAACAATCTGGGTAAGGTTTTCGCTTTTTTTTTTTTTTTTTTGAGAAGGGTCCTTCCTTGATTGGATGGAAGCCAAACCAGTCCTGGGAAGGCAGGAATGGGGCTGGCTTTCTTGTTTTGTGCTGTGTCCAAGGGGTCTGGCCCTGCTGGCAACCTTACAGGACCTTTCCTTGCTCATCTGCCCATATAGCTTCCTGCCATATCCCTCCCAGGCTATCCCATTGCTCAGCACATCTTTTCTGAACTGCTTCTTTGGTTCTATTCTGTGTTCTGCTCCCAGCAGCCTGGAATGGACGAATTCATGCCCCTTGGGAAAGCAGGGGATAAGTTGCAGATGTTCATTTGTTATTCTTGAGCTCTGTGTGCCATAACAAATGCTGAAGGTGCATCCCTTCTGCTTCTGTTTTATGCCTATGGGCATCCCTGGGGGGCCAAACAAGGGACAGTGGCCGTAACTGGCTGTCAAAGGTATAGATAGGGCTAAGCCTAGTTGGATGAAGCCTGTTTAAGAGCCATGGTCCTGGCCTCACTCTCCCACCTCTTGGGGCTGGGCAGTGTTGGCATGGTGGTGCCCTGTTTCATGTACTACCCGGGAGACAAGCCAGTGTGAAATTGTGTGAAATCCCACTGCAATTGGGGCCCTGGGGATTCTGCTAGTTGACAGCTCCAGGCTAGGTATTTGCCAGGGCTGCAGTGATGCCCAAGGTTTCTCTGGATCCAGCTTGTTGAACCCTCACTTGAGCTCTCTGAGGGGTGTTTTCACTCTCCCTTCCAGTATGTATCTGCCTTAGGACTGCTTGGCATGAGTGTTAGTCCTGCTTAGATTTCAAATTGGCTTTGGTGCCAGCATCTGGAGTAATCTAGGGATGATCCTAGGGGATTGAATGGAGAGCTATCGGAGTTGATGGGAGCAGCTGTGCCTGGGAGGGTCAGGGCCCCTCAGACTATTCCATGTTCATCTCAGACTTAGCTTTATCCCTATGGAGCCATTCTTCCACCTGGGTCTTGCCCTTGAGTGCCTTCCCTTGGGGAGCACAGCCTCCTCTTTCTGCTTTCCTGTGAAGATTCCCTCTCTGAACCCATAACATTTTGCTMTAAGAAGAGGATATGGTAGAACATGGGCAAGATTCAGGCTCTCAAAATATTTGCAGGACCCCAGGTCCAGGAAACATTGCAAGGCCCTGAGCCACCCTTTCTGCTCAACACCCCAGTCAGGGAGAGGGAGCAGTMTTGCAGGAACAAGTCACACCCTCTGTTCTGGGCTCTGGCAGGATCCAGAGTGGCCAGCATCTGCTCAGTCCTGTGCTGTCCTGCAGGCGCTGCACCAGCTCTACTACGACCCCAACATTGAGAACAAGAACCTGGCTCAGAAGTGGCTGATGCAGGCCCAGGTCTCCCCACAGGCCTGGCACTTCAGCTGGCAGCTACTACAGCCCGACAAGGTGCCTGAGATCCAGTACTTTGGGGCCAGTGCCCTACACATCAAGATCTCTCGCTATTGGAGTGATATCCCCACTGATCAGTATGAAAGCCTAAAGGCACAGCTCTTCACCCAGATCACCCGCTTCGCCAGTGGCTCGAAGATTGTGCTGACTCGGTTGTGTGTGGCACTGGCCTCACTGGCTCTCAGCATGATGCCTGATGCTTGGCCATGTGCTGTGGCAGATATGGTAAGACTCTTCCAGGCTGAGGACTCACCAGTGGATGGCCAGGGCCGCTGCCTGGCCCTTCTAGAGCTGCTGACAGTACTGCCTGAGGAGTTCCAGACCAGCCGCCTGCCCCAGTACCGCAAAGGCCTGGTGCGGGCCAGCCTGGCAGTGGAGTGTGGGGCTGTCTTCCCATTGCTGGAGCAGCTGCTACAGCAGCCCAGCTCACCCAGCTGTGTACGTCAGAAGGTGCTCAAGTGCTTCTCCAGCTGGGTACAGCTGGAAGTGCCACTGCAGGACTGTGAGGCACTTATTCAGGCTGCCTTTGCTGCTCTGCAGGACACGGAGCTCTTTGACAGCAGTGTGGAGGCAATCGTCAATGCCATCTCGCAGCCTGATGCCCAGAGGTGAGCTGGTCCCCGCCTGCCCAGAGAGGGAGTGCCTGTTTGGCCAGCCACATATCCGTCCATCTGTTCAATAAACATCAGTGAAGTGCCTATTGCATGCTTGGTCCTATGCTAGAGATACAACAAGGAACCAAATAAGACATGCCCCCTGTCTTCATGATTTAGAGAGCCAAGCAGACATTCACACAGTTAATCATCCAGGAAATTATTCAGTTAAAATATTTGTCCATTCTCTTTCTCTCAACCAGTCACTAAGTCCTGGCTGTTCTGCTCCTGACCATATTGCAAATCTATTTTTTTCAATTTCCATTGCTACCACCCTAGTCCAAGCTGTCATCATCTCTCTCCCCAGATTTCAGTAGTTTTCTCACCAGTCCCCTGGTTTTTACTCTTGTACCCTTTATTGTACCAGCAGCCAGAGTTGTTCTTTTGAAAATGAGGCTCTAATCTTTTCTTTCTGATCTGAACACTTCTGTCACCTCTCTCTGCTCTTAGGATAAAATTCAGAATCTTAGGCTCACAGTCCTTGATATGTTGCACAGTGTGGCAGGACCAGCCTTATCTCATGCTATTTCTCCTTGCTTTCTACTATCCTCTTACCTGGTCTTTTCAGTTTTCTGAACGTCCTATGTTTCTTCTAGTCTCTGAACATGTACTTGACGTATCACCTCTGCCTCAGATTTCACTTTCAAAGGGAAGTCCCCCATGATTTTTAAGACTAAGCTTGGTCTTCTCTGTTGTATTATTTATGGACTCTTAGTATTTTTTCTTCTTATCCTWTAACCTGATTTCATTATAAATCAACATATCTCCCCGTTAGTCAYTCAGCTCTGTGAAAACAAGGACTGTCATTTTGTCTTATTGTGCTTGGCACATGATAACATTCAAGTTTTGAATGGATGAAAAGGAGTTATCTAATGGGGAGGGGTAGAGGAGAGGGAGATTGGGTGAGGAGAAGGAATGTTCCCAGTTTCAGGAACCRCAGCAGGTGCTAAGGCCTGTGGTGGACAGCACAGTAGTGCATTCAAGGACTTGGAAGAAGGTGAATGTAGTGAAGTGTTTGGCAAATATGTGCTGAGTTGGGTCCTGCATCTGGGAGCACATAGGTGGAATGCTTGAACTTTTACATGTCAGGAGCTCACAATCTGGTAGGCACACAAATGAGCATGTGCCATTGGTATGATGAAAAATGAAGGAGAAAGTAGGGGGGTCTAGGAGCCCAGAGGCAGCATTTAATGTAGTCTGAGGGTTGTGAAAGACTTMCAAGCTATGTTTGGAAGGCTTGTAAGAGTTAGCCAGATAGAAGTAATGGATATGAGAAGGATAGTCCAGACAGATGCAAGAGCCAACTGATGAGAAAGGTGTGAGAGTACATTGAGTGGTAATTTGTAAATCATTGGTATGATTAGATAGCAAGGTTTAGGGGCCATTATTTGTAGGAGATCTAGGCCCAAATCATGCAGGACCTTGTCAGTGTGATCTTCATCCTGAGGATGATGTAAAGTTATTAAAGGATTTTTAAAAAATATTTATTTTTTAGTTGTAGTTGGGCACAATACCTTTATTTCACTTATTTGTTTTTATGTGGTGCTGAGGATTGAACCCAGGGTCTTACACCTGAGAGGCAAGCACTTTACCGATGAGCCACAACCCCAGCCCCCTTATTAAAAGGATTTTAATAAGAAAATGGTCTGCTAGAGTTTTGGAATAAGGTAGGTTGGAAAGTCTTCAAGACTGGAAACCTGATACTTGACATTTCAAAGATAGGGTTTTGGGAATCCTTAGCAAAGTTGGAGGGGGAAAACTATTGGAAGASACTGCATGCAAGAATAGCCCAGATTTCCATATCAGTAAAAAAATGGAGGTGATCATATCAAACTGACAGAGTTGTAAAGATTTAAATAGGGTAAGGTGCACAGGGTTGGCCCCTGATCAGGACTATTTTAACTCCCTGAGTAACAGGATTTCTTTCATGCCCCCTCTGTAAAGGGATAGGGTAAGGGGCATAGGGTTGGCCCCTGATCAAGACTATTTTAACTCCCTGAGAAATGGGAGTCCTTTCATGGCCCCTCTGTAAGGGGATGGGGGAGTTAGTAGCCCCTATTTGTACATATAGGTCATTGGTATGTCACATATTAGACTGGAGACAGAATGAGTGGTTGTGTATATTTATGTTTGGTTCTTGTACCATATGTGATAAATTTAATGGGAACCTTATTTTTTTTTTTTAAGAGAGAAATCACATAGTGTTAAACACACATACTATTAAATTGATTGAAGTTGTTTATGGTACTGGGGATTGAACCCAGGGTTGCTGAACTGTCGAGTCACATCCACAGCCTTTTAAAATTTTTTTTATTTTGAGACAAGAGTTTACCAACAAGCTTAGGGTCTTGATAAGTTGCTGAGCCTGGCTTTGAACTTGCGATCATCCTGCCTCAGGCTCCTGAGTCACTGGGATTACAGTGCACCGTCACACCCAACTAAGCTGTTTACTTTTAGAATTGGGCATAAAAAGTAAAACCTGAATCTTGAAATAGATAATGGGCCTAGTTGATCAGTGGCTAAAGTACATGCACATAGATAATGCCCTTAACCACTGATTTTTAAGACTAAATTAAACAAAACATTGAATTAGTGTTTTTGTTTTTTTGTACCCAGGATTGAACCCAGGGAAACTTAACCACTGAACCACATCCCCAGCTTTTTAATTTTTTATATGAGGCAGGGTCTCACTAAGTTGCATAGGACCTTGTTAAAATACTAAGGCAGGATTTGAATCTGCAATTCTCCTGCATCAGCTTCCCAAGCTGCTAAGATTACAGGTATGTGCCACTGCACCTAGTTTGGGGTTGGTTTTAAGAAAAAAAGAAAACTGCTTTGGGCTGGGCATAGTGGTACATACTTGTAATCCCAACAATTTGAGAGACTAAGRCAGGGGGATTGCAARTTTGAAACAAGCCTGGACAATTTAGCAAGATCTGTCTCAAAATAAAAAATGAAAAGGGTTGAGGATGTAGCTTAGYRGTAGAGTGCCCCTGGGTTCAATCCCTAGTACTGGGAATGAGGGGTAACTTTTGGTATGAAGATTAAATAAGGACATGCCTGCAAAATTTTAGCATGATTCCTGCATACTCCATAAATGACAGTTTGTTTTTTTTTTTTTTTAGCTAGTTATTGGTATTGTTGTTACATTGATAGTCAGTATACTTATCTCCTGGCTTCTCTGTTTTCCCTCATAAGGTGGATACCAAGTCCCAGGTCAAGGCCTCTCTTGGCAGCCTAAAGCTCAAGTGCTTGGTGGCTAAAAGAAATTGATTAGGACAAGTACCTGGGTGATGTAGGGTGTCCTTGAATACACCCAAGTTTACCTACCCAGCCTGTCTCAAGGGCTTTGGCAGGTAATTGATGCCCCTTCTCTTCTGAACGAATGAGCGAGCAAGGAGCCAGTGAGGGAACCCAAAGCCTCCTGAGCGCCCATTGGCTGCAGCCCCTTGGTTGCTTAGCAACTCTTCCCATTTTCTCAGCTCTTCTCCCAGAGCTCTAATTGCAGGTCTGGGCTGAGCTCAGTGTGAGCAGCAGCCAAGGAGTCCCCAGCAGCCTGGCCTCAGCTGCTGGAGCTGACCAACAGCAGCCAGGTCCTTTGAATCCAGTCTTAGCTGTAGTTCTAAAGTCATCCTCCCAGTCATCCTTCATCAAATCTAGAAACTTCTGGGGCTTTAGGCTTATTCTGTCCACTCACAGGTCTCTGGCATTTGTTCTCAGGTGGTAGGAARTCTTTGTAGGAGTTTTCCCCCTGAGTGGGCTATACCCAGCCCAGAGTCAGCTTGGGGCTTGCTCTATACAGTCTAGTTTCCTATTTTTGGCTTAAGAAAGTCACCTTCAGTGACTTTGATTCCTGGGTCATCCAAGTGCTGCCTTCCCTAGGTGCTCTGACATCAACCTTTCCCCTGGCTGAGCTTGCACACAGTAGCCATTTTCCTGCTCCTCCAACAGCTGTTGCTGCTTCCTGGTCTTCTTTGAAATGTAATTTTTTCCTAAAATATATTTTTAATCCTGGAACTGCTTTTCATTGGGGCCTGGGAGAAGAGGAAAGGTGAATTAGACAGAATGTTGGGGGCTCYCCTCAGAACTGGAGATAAGGATTGAGATCTGCATGAATCCTTTGGGAAATTTTTGTTTGGACTCTGAAAGGGAAGCAGAACTAGAGCAGTTTCAGGGGTTGTCTCAACCTGCAATCTGTTTGACCTTGAATGATACTCTGAGCCCTTCTTGGCTACRTTGTCCTTGATTTAGCCTACTGTGAGGCTCCGGTGAGACAAATTAATAATCCTCACTGAGTACCTACTGTCGGTATGAACTTTGGCAGGTGGAGAGAGTCTTGGAATACAGTGGAGATGCTATGGAGTTAGGTACTTCCTCTTGTCCCCAGCTCAGCTTCTGGGGASCCTGTGGGCCATAGCCCTGCCCCTGTTCTTTGTACCAGAGTCTGGCCTGAAGATGCCCATTGTCTGATGGTGCAGCCTGTGTCAGGGGCATGAGACAAGCTAYCCCAGCTGTGTCTAGGCGGCACCCTCTGGCACTGTCTCTGAATCAGGGGTGTCCTGGTATGGATAGCCTTTCCTGCCAAAATGGGGATGTGGAGAAGGAAGCTAACATCCCTGGGCTGGTTGCCTCTTTTTGTTCTTCTCATCTTCCCATAAAGTTATGAGGCTACTGCCTAAYAATCTACCTGGAGCAAGTCCAGACAGAAACCCTTTGGGAATCTCAGTTCTCTTTCCCTCCATAGATTGCTGTGGTGATACTGTGGTTGACAGCAGAGAGTTCCAAGCATGTGATTTCCTCTAAGAGGATGGCTTATTCTGCTTAATCTGGTTCCCACATATTGGGATCAAGCTAGTCTTCTCTCAGTCTCCTTTGTATACTGAGCTTCCTCTGCTCCTCCTTTAGGGATCATTTTGCTTCAGGCCTCTGACCTGGATGGACCTTTTTCTCATTCAAAGCTTTCTCCCTGGGCAGTTCTTATCTACTTCCATAYCTTCAATTACCAGCCGTTAGCTGATGACTCTGAAATCTCTCTCTCTTGCCCTAACCTCTCTGCTGGGCTTCAGGGTTTTATATCCTGTTCTTTCTAAATGCCTCTGCTTGTATATCATGCCTGATTCTGAACTTTGCACTTTTCTACCTCTCATTAATGGTGTAACTGTACCTCTCTACCCTCCCTTCCAGGTCTTAGTAAGTAGCTTCACCCTTTCCTTATTTGGAGAGTTATCCTTGACTTCCCAATCTTTGTATCCAKTCTCTCTTCACTTCCTGTCCATTTTGCCTCTTAGGACTCTCTCTGAATTTACCATCTGTACCTCTCTGTCCCTATGCCACCAGAGTACACAGGAATTAGGGTTTGCTAGGAGAGGGTGGGATTGATAATCTCATGAGTTTTGCTGCTTTCTGAAGTCTTCCTTAACAGGGGTCTTGACTCTCCCACCTTGTCCTTCTTTCCTAACAGTGACTGTATTAGTTTCATAGTGCTGCCATAACAAAGTACTTCAAACTGAGAAGCTTTAAACAACAGAAATTTATTATCTCACAATTGTGGAAACTAGAAGTCTGAAATCAAGGTGTCAGTAGGGCAATGCTTGCTCTGAAAAGTGCAGGGGACTCCTTCCCTACCTCTTCCTGACTCCTGGTAGCTTCACTTGTAGCTGCGTAACCCCAGGCTTACCTTCATCCTCACTAGGCATTCTCCCTGCATGTCTCTGTCTTCACCTGTCTTCTTATAAGGACACCAGTTGCATTAGATTTAGAGCCCACCCTGCTCCAGGATGACCTTGTTTGTAATGAGCCTTTTTCTAAATAAGGACACATTTTGAGATATTGGGAGTTAGGATTTCAACATATAATTTTGGGGAACACACATTTACTGCTGATCCCCCAAAATTTATGTCACTCTGACATACAAAATATATTCACCTCATCTAACCCCAGAACTAATAAAAGTTTTAACCCATTCCAGCATCAACGTTTAGTCACTTGGAGGACATAATTCAACCTATAACACTGACCTTTTCATATTTCCTTCCCAGAGTTCTCCTAGGACCTAAAGTTTGTCCCAAGATGAACAGCATCAAAGCTACCATGATCTCTTTTTTGCTTAGGATTTGATAGGAGGGGGCTCTGATGGAAGATAGGGAGATTGTGTCTTTTTCTCAAAGCTTGGTGGGGGTTGAGCTGACAGCTCCGATGAGTCTCCTCATCTCATTACTCTAGGTACGTGAACACACTTCTGAAACTCATCCCACTGGTGCTGGGACTGCAGGAACAACTGCGACAGGCAGTGCAAAATGGGGACATGGAAACTTCCCATGGCATCTGTCGCATCGCTGTGGCCCTGGGCGAGAACCACTCCCGGTAGGGAGTTGGGGGCAGCTGGTGGTGGGATAGCAGAGCCCTCTAAGAAGTCGGATTGTGGAACCCCCTTGGGGAGGTGGAATGACCTTACTATATCTCCTCTGCAGGGCCTTGTTGGATCAAGTAGAGCACTGGCAGAGCTTCCTGGCACTTGTCAACATGATCATGTTCTGCACAGGCATCCCTGGCCATTATCCTGTCAATGAGACTACCAGCTCCTTAACTCTAACTTTCTGGTACACACTGCAGGTATGTCTATGTCAACACCAGTAGGTCTGGGACATCATGGAAGAAAGTGGATCCTTGGGCTTTCTATGGCTTCTGAAATGGCTCATTGTTTTCCCCTGACCCTCTCAGGATGACATTCTATCCTTTGAGGCAGAGAAGCAGGCTGTATACCAGCAGGTGTACCGACCAGTCTACTTCCAGCTGGTGGATGTGCTTCTGCACAAGGCCCAGTTCCCTTCTGATGAGGAATATGGATTCTGGTCCTCAGACGAGAAGGAGCAGTTCCGAATTTACAGGTGATGCTAGCAGGCTAACCCTAGCTAACTGGAATCCTGAAATAATGAAGGTAATCAGGGAAGGGGCCCAAGGCCAGACTTCCTGAATTCTAGGATTCCTTTCTCTATTCTTTAGGCATTTTTGCATAGGGTTTGGGGGTCCTGGGGTAGGCTCTTAGTCCTGGGTCAGGATCCAGGCAGTGTAAAAGACCTTCATTTGCTTCTCAGGGTGGACATCTCAGACACGCTCATGTATGTCTATGAGATGCTGGGGGCCGAGCTGCTCAGCAACCTCTATGACAAGCTGGGCCGTTTGCTCACCAGCTCAGAGGAGCCCTACTCCTGGCAGGTACCTCCCAAACCTGATTCCCTCAGCCCTCCCTGACCTGTCACACCCTCCTCCTCAGCCAAGCCAGTGGCATCCTCTTTCCCCAGCACACAGAGGCTCTGCTTTATGGCTTCCAATCCATCGCGGAGACCATCGATGTCAACTATTCTGATGTGGTGCCCGGGCTCATTGGTCTCATTCCACGGATCAGCATCAGCAACGTTCAGCTGGCAGATACTGTCATGTTCACCATTGGTGAGACCTGGCAAATATCCATGACCACATTCCTAGAGCCACAGCAGCCATCCTTAGCCATGGCCAGCCTGCTCTTTCCTGTCCAAAGTGGGAGAGACACATGGCTCCATGCACAGTCAGCACTGCAGCCAACTGTCCCTGCAAGTGTACCAAGCTGCATTTCAGTGAGGCCAGTGCACTGTCAGTGGATCAGTGGTGTTGCGCCTCTGTTGAGTAGTAACCCCTTCCTGCTTCTCAGCTGTGAGACTCACATTTGAGCATGCATATGTGTATTTACTCATTCTGTCCTCTGAATGAGCACTCCTCTGTGCTGGTGCTATGACTCGACCCTGCCAGGAGCTCAGCTTGCCTTGAGGGAAATGGTACAAAACCAAACCTGGCCTATCTCAGAGATCCTTCCCTTTCTTTTTTTCTTTCAGGAGCTCTGTCTGAATGGCTGGCTGACCACCCGGTCATGATCAACAGCGTTCTGCCCCTTGTTCTGCATGCCCTAGGCAATCCTGAGCTGTCTGTCTCTTCTGTGTCCACCCTCAAGAAGATCTGCCGAGAATGCAAGTATGACTTGCCGCCCTATGCTGCCAATATCGTAGCTGTCTCCCAGGTATGAAGAGGCAGTGCCTGGGTGGTGCTGGGCCTTAGGGTGCACTGCACTGTGCTGATACTGTGTTCCTGTATTTTTATATCCAGGATGTACTGATGAAACAGATCCACAAGGTATGACTCAAAAGTTTCTAGGTGGTTTCCTTGGGGTCTTATGGAAACCTCTTATCCCCCAAAATCCTGGTTTCTACCTTATCCTACCCTTATYCCTTATTCTCTGTTGTTGGAAACCTTCCCCAAGAGGCTCATTCTCCTTTCCATTCACAACCAAATGTGGTCAAGATGGATGGTCCATGTTTTCTGCCCCACAGACAAGCCAGTGCATGTGGCTGATGCAGGCTCTGGGCTTCCTGCTATCAGCCCTGCAAGTGGAGGAAATCCTTAAGAACCTGCACTCGCTCATCTCACCCTATATCCAGCAGCTGGAGAAGCTGGCAGAGGAGATAGTAAGTGAGCTCTGGGGGCCAGGGCAGCACTGGGACTTTGGTGCTTCCCCTTGTGTGTGAGCTGTGACTGCTGAGGGGTTGAGTCAGAACTGACCCTTGAGGCTGGGCCTGAGCAATCTGGGGACCAAGCTGGAGCTGGGAGATCTGGAACTTGATTCACTTCTCCTCATAGCCCAATCCCTCCAACAAGCTGGCCATTGTCCACATCTTGGGGCTTCTCTCCAACCTCTTCACCACACTGGACGTCAGTCATCACGAGGATGATCATGAAGGTCCTGAGCTCCGGAAGCTGCCAGTGCCACAGGGACCCAACCCGGTGGGTGGCTTGTCTTTACCATTGCCCCCTCCCCCATGGGAATGTCATTGTCACTCCCCACCTCTGTGAGTAATGTTGTCATTGTTTCCCTGACCYCTTGCAGGTAATGTGTTTGGTTCTCTCACCCCAGAATGATCTTATCAATGTCTCCCACCCTGTAGCAATGTTATTGTCATATTCAGTTCTGTGGATGTTTTCCTTGTTCTCACCCAAAGGGGTGATGTTATTGAGGTTCATTTGCCCCATGAGGGACACTGACCTTCAACCCCCTCAACTGTTTTTTTGAGCCCTCCTTCAGTCTCCGACTCTGTGGCATCTTCTGCTTAGCATTCATTGTCCCCTGTGGGCACTGAGGAAGCTTACATACTCCATAGGTAATGGTTCTTGCCTTCAGTTTTCTGTCAGTCTAGAGGAAATCCTTAAAAACAGATTGCTGCAAAGCAGTGTGATAAGTACTGCCCCCCAGACAGTGTGGATAAGCTTGGTCACAGCGGGGTAGGGTGACCCTTACAACCTGTTTTCCCTGGGGCAAACCTTGACTTCCCACTCAAAACTCAGCATGACGGGCTGGGGTTGTGGCTCAGTGGTAGAGAAACTTGCCTAGCATGTGTGAGGCACTGGGTTCGATTCTCAGCACCACATATAAATATATGAATAAAATAAAGGTTCAYTGACRTCTAAAAATTTTTTTWAAAAACTCAGCATCAGTATCTGACTTGTTCATCTCTTGGGACTGTGTTGGGTAGCAGGTGTGGTTTTGAGTGAGTAGTTTGCATACTGTAAAGGTCAGTACAAATATGAGGGACTGCTTTGGTCATTGTTCCTGGAATTCCCTCAGGGTTTCTCTGAAGAGAAGGAAGCCACATACATCCTGATCCCTCCATTTAAATCCTGGCCCCAGTTTCAGTTGCTCTTGTGGCTCGAACCCAAGCCAGGCCCACCAATGTCCCACAGAGCCCCTTCTGTGGCAGTCATCATCCTGCCTTCCCTCCCCTCTCAGGACCTTATCTGCTTTCTTTTTCTCCATAAGCTGCCCACACCTACATACCCCTTGGGATACCCTATTCCATGTCTCTAGTCCATTGCCTTGGTTTTATTAAACTGAGTGGATAGAGAGTAATTTTTTTTAATATTTATTTTTTAGTTATAGGTGGACACAATATCTTTATTTTTATGTGGTGCTGAGGATCAAACCCAGTGCCTCACGCATACTAGGCGAGTGCTCTACCTCTGAGCCACAATCCCAGCCCCTAGAGAGTAATTAAAAAAAAAAAAAARKTT